TGTATTTCTGTGATATCAGTTATGATTTCTCTTCCTTCATTTCTGATTTTGAGTCATCTCATTTTTCTTGGTGAGTTTAACTGAAGGTTTGTCAGTTTTGCTTATCTTTTAATAAACCAGCTCTTAGTTTCATTGATCTTTTCGGTTGTCTTTTTTTTTTCCCAGTGTTCCAAGATTCATTGTTTATACACCATACCCAGTGCTCCATGCAATACGTGCCCTCCATAATACCCACCACCGGGCTTACCCAACCCTCTACTCCCCTCCCCTCCAAAACCCTTAGTTTGTTTCTCAGAGTCCACAGTCTCTCATGGTTTGTCACCCCCTCCAATTTCCCCCAACTCACTTCTCCTCTTTTTTTCCTAATGTCCACTGTGTTAACCCTATGCTCCGCAAGTAAGTGAAACCATATGGTAATTGACTCTCTGCTTGATTTAATTCACTCAGCATAATCTCCTCCAGTCCCGTCTTTTTAGTCTCTTTTATTCACATCCTCTCTAATCTTTATTTCCTCCCTTCTACTAATTTTGGGCTTTGTCATCTTTCCATAGTTCCTTAAGGTGTGAAGTTAGGTCATTTGACTTTTCTCGTTCCTTGAGGTAGGACTTTATTGCTATGAACTATTGCCTTAGAAATGCTTTTGCTGCATCCCATAAATTTTGATTTTTACATTTCTATTTTCATTTGTCTCAAGACATTTTTTACATTTTTCTTTTGATTTCTTCTTTGACCCATTTGTTGGTGGTTCAGTAACATGTTGAATATCCACATATTTGTGAATTTTCCACATTTCTTCTTGTAATTATTTCTACTTTTATATTATTGTGGTTGGAAAAGTACTTGATAATGATTTTAATCTTAAACATATTAAGATTTTTTTTAAAGATTTTATTTATTTATTTGACACAGAGAGAGATCACAAGTAGGCAGAGAGGCAGGCAGAGAGAGAGGAGGAAGCAGGCTCCCCGCCCAGCAAAGAGCCCGATGTGGGGCTCGATCCCAGAACCCTGAGATCATGACCTGAGCCGAAGGCAGAGGCTCAACCCACTGAGCCACCCAGGTGCCCCAACATATTAAGATTTCTTATGTGTTCTAACATATGATCTGGTCTAGAGAACGTTCCATATACACTTGAGAAGAATGTGTATTCTGCTTTTAGATAGAATGTTCTGTATATATCTATTGAGTGTATATATCTATTGAGTCCATCTGTTCCATCATATTGTGTACAGCTGATGTTTTCTTACTGATATTGTCTGGATGATCTACCTGTTGATGTAAGTGGGTATTAAAGTCCTCTAATTACTGGTGCTATTACTTTAGGTCTGTTGGTATATGCTTTATATATTTTAGGTTGATCCTATGTTGGGTGCATAAATATTTACCAATATTTATGCTCTCGTTGGATTGACGCCTTATCATTACATATTGTCCTTTGTTATTATAGTGTTTTAAAGTTTATTTTGTCTGATGTAATTAGGGCTACCTCCAACTTTTTTTTTTTTTTTTTAATTTATTTGACAGAGATCACAAGTAGGCAGAGAGGCAGGCAGAGAGAGAGAGAGAGAGGAGGAAGCAGGCTCCCCGCGGAGCAGAGAGCCCGATGCGGGGCTCTATCCCAGGACCCTGGGATCATGACCTGAGCCAAAGGCAGAGGCTTTAACCCACTGAGCCACCCAGGCGCCCCAACCTCCAACTTTTTTGGAGGTTTTTATTTGTATGGGCTATCTTTTTTCATTCCTTCACTTTCAGTCTGTGTGTGTCCTTGCACCTGAAGTGAGTCTCTTAAAGGCAGCATATAAATGGGTCTTTTTTTTTTAAATTCATTCAGGCACTCTACTTCTTTTGTTTTTGGGGGTTTTTTGTTTTGTTTTGTTTTAGGTTTTATTAATTTGAGGGACACCTGGGTGGCTCAGCTATTAAGCGGCTGCCTTCAGCTCAGGTCATGATCCCAGGGTCTTAGGATCAAGCCCTGCATCAGGCTTACTGCTCACCAGGAAACCAGCTTCTCCCTCTCCCACTCCCCGTACTTGTGTTCCCTCTCTCGCTGTCTCTCTTTCAAATAAAATCTTTTAAAAAAATTTTGAGAGAGAGAGAGCAACAGAGATAGTGAGAGAGCCCAAGTGAGGAGAAGGAGAAGCAGGCTCCCCACTGAGCAGGGACCCTACTACTGGGCTTGATCCCAGGACACTGGGATCATAACCTGAGCCAAAAGCAGATGCTTAACTGACTGAGCCAGCCAGATGCCCCAACTCTTTGTCTTTTGTTTGGAGAATCTGGCTCATTTACATATAAAGTAATTATTGATAGCTGTGTACTTATTGCCATTATGTTGTTTTCAGGCTGTTTTGTAGTTCCTTCTGTTCCTTTGTTTTCTTCCTTTGTGGTTTAATGACTTATAGTAGTACACTTAATTTCTTTTATCTTTTGTGTATCTACTATAGATTTTTACTTTGGGGTTACCAGGAGGCTTACATATAACAACTTATATTTGTATCAGTCTATTTTATAACAGCTTAAATCTGAATACATTCTAAAGTTCTATGTGTTTACCTCCCTCCTCCATTTTGTTTTTGATGTTACATTTTACATCTTTTCATCTCGTGTATCACTTGTTTGTAGTTTGGGTTTTGTTGTTGTTTTTATTCTACTTTTGTCTTTTAGCCTTCATAATAGCTCTATAAATGATTCGCCCATTACATCTTTCCTATATATTTACCTTTGCCAGTGAGATTTATACTTTCACATTTTATTTAGTGCCCTGTCTTTTCATCTCAACAAAGTCCCTTTAATATTTTTTGTAAAGCTGGTTTAGTAAAGTAATTAACTCCTTTAGCTTTAACTTGTCTGAAAAACTCTTACTCCAATTCTGAATGATAACTTTGTTAGTTAAGAGTATTCTTGACTGGAAGTGTTTTTTTCTTTCAGTACTTTGAATGTGTCATGCCACTGCCTTCTGTCCTGTGGTTTCTGCAAAAAAAAATCTGATAGTCTTATGGGGGGGTTCCACTGTACATAACAAGTTTTTCTTTTCCTGATTTCAAGATTCTCTTTAACTTTTGACATTTTAATTATAATTTATCTTGGTGTGCATCTCTTGGGGTTCATATTTATAGAACTCTCTAGACTTCCTGGATCTGGATTCTGTTTTTCCCCCCAGGTTAGCTTTCAGCCATTATTTTTTGAAGTAATTTTTCTGTTCCTTTCCTCTCTCCTCCTTTCGAGAGCCCCATGATATGAATGTTAGTCCACTTCACGTTGTCCCTTAAGTCTCTTATACCATCTTCACTTTCTTTCCTCTATTATAGCTGTAGAATTGGGGTGCTTATAGGAGGGGAATTCAGCATCCTCTCAGAACTAGGTGATCAAGGAGCATCCCTGAGTGGCAGGCCCCAAAGACTAGGGCACCAGAAGTAAAAATGGGACACAAGATGCCTATAAAATCTTCCCTCCAAGACATCCTGGGGTCCCCCAGAGGTTTCCAGTAAGTCTTGCCAGCCCTTAAAATGTGTTTAATCTGAAGCCTGCCCCTCAGCCTGCAGCTATGATGATAAGCTATTTTTTTTTTAAAGATTTATTTATCAGAGAGGAACAGAGAAAGCACAGGCAGGAGGAGCAGTAGCAGAGGGGAAGCAGACTCCCCACTGAGCAGGGAGCCCAATGTGGGACTCAATCCCAGGAGCCTGGGATCCTGACCTGAGCGAAGACAGGCCCTTAAGCGACTATGCACCCAGGTGTCCGTGATAATAAGCTGTTAGTCCTCTTTTACAGACTGAATTCCTGGGCCTGTTGTCTCTTGCTGTGCCCTGGGGATACTGGCCATTTCCGAACTATTTCTCTGTTGGTTACAGTCCTGTGAGGCCCACCAGCATAAGCCCCATGGGCCCCCAGAGCCAGGAAATGCAAAGGTGTCCTCTAGCAACAGCTGCAAAAACCAAGGTACCAGATGTAAAACCAGGGCACGGACACTTATAGAAGTTCCTTCCTGAGAGAGAATGGTGTTCTCAAGTACAGCAGAGGGAGAGGGAGAAACTGGCACCCACTAGCTGGGGAGTGACAGAGGAGAGTGTAGAGATGGTGCCTACTAAGAAAGAAAAGTAGAGAAAGGGAAAAAAAAAAAAAAAAAAGCCTAGAGGGTTTTTTGTTTTGTTTTTAAGCATCCACCAGTTGGAGCAAGATAGAGGGGGTGCACAAAGATGGGTGCCCACCAGTCCCTATACCTAGAGTACCCCAGCATGCCCCCAAATGTGTCAGATCAGGTGCCTGACCCTCAGGCCAGTGTCCAAGACAAGTAAACAAGACCCTCCCACACAAAGTCCAGACACCTCTGAATGGGCCACGTCCAGGTTGGGCCCTGAGGTGGGTGAGTCCACATGTGTGAGCCCTTTAAGAGCTGTTGCTGGGATTGCTAGTCTTGTGGGTCTCGGGGATGTAAGCCTGTTGGTTTCCAAAGCTAGCTATTTTAGGGGCTTGTCTTTCAGGTACAGATCTTAAGAGCTGGGTTGCCCAACATGGGGTTCAAGCCCTTTGCTCCTCAGAGACGAACTCCAGGTTTTGAGTTCCCTTCCAGCTGTGAGTCTCCGCATTGGGAGTGGTACTTATGGCAAGATTGTGTCCCAGCTTCTCCTAGCCCGTGACCTGGACCTTCTCTCATTCACTCAATGTGTAGGAGTCACTCAGTTTTTAGAGTTTTTGTTTTTTCAGAGTAGGCTGTCCTTTATGTAGCTGAGAATTGGGGAGTTTATGAAAGGTTAGTTCAGGATCCTTTCACATTGTCCTCTTCAACTGTATCATCACCTGCAATTTGATTTCCATCTTTACATAATTGGAAAGATGAGAGCAGCCACCAAGAGTGCAGCAAACCCATGGCCACAGGACCCCAAGATTTTGTGTTTAATCCTCCAGTGATAAGCGGCTACCATAGGGTGCTGCCCAGCCCAGGCCCGGAGCCTTGGAAAGAGCAGGTCTCTCAGATATCCACACGTGTCTCCTTGTTCTAGAGTCTGTCCCACTGTGAGCTCATCACAGATGACGGGATCCTGCACCTGAGCAACAGCACCTGCGGTCACGAGAGGCTGCGGGTACTGGAACTGGACAACTGCCTCCTCATCACCGACGTGGCCCTGGAGCACCTGGAGAACTGCCGCGGCCTGGAGCGCCTCGAGTTGTATGACTGCCAGCAGGTTACCCGCGCAGGCATCAAGCGGATGCGGGTAAGGCGGGGCTGGCACACTTCCTAAGCAAACGAGTATGTCAAGACTCTATCTTCCACATTTTATTCTAAGCTTATAGTGATGTTCTACAAGTGTCGTCTTGTTCAAAATTTCCTTATTAGATCTTACTCCGGCCAATTCAACTTCCAGAATGGGTGTGGGACAGAGGTTCTAGAGTCTGGTGATCAGACCCTTGTAGGGAGAGAGACTTAGAGTCATTACCAGCAGGAAGGAAACCATGGTCTTGGTTAACTTCCAGAGAACAGGGCTTAGATAGAACATGGCTTTTCTTGTCCCACATAGTTCACATAGTTTTCTTGAATACACTTTACGTTGAGCAGCTTTGCATTTACCTCCCAGAGCTGCCCCAGGTGCTAACGGCTACAAGGATGCGCTCAGTGTCCATACAGAACCAGCGACTGCCCCCAGGGCAGATATTCAGGTCTCCTCACTTCAGAAGGATACGTATGTAAACAGGAATAGCTCTAGCCTACATGAGAAACTGTATTTGAACTATCTGCCTGAGAATCAAGGAGGGTCAATTCTACAAGGCAAATTGCGGGCTTGTCTAGGATTGTGCCTGTAATCCTCAAATACACACGTAATGACTACTCCACATCTGTCTGCTTTCTGCCTCCAGGCTCAGCTCCCTCATGTCAAAGTCCATGCCTACTTTGCTCCTGTCACCCCCCCGACAGCAGTGGGAGGAAGTGGACAGCGACTGTGCAGGTGCTGTGTCATTCTCTGACGGCGACTGCCTCAGTCCAAGGCACGATGAAGTGTCCCTTCCTCCAGAGAAGACCCGGGTCTTCCTGCTCCGCCTTCACCCAGATCTCTTGGTTCTCCATTGGGAAAGACATTTACAGGTAAAAGACTTCAGTAGGGACTGCAGTAACTCTGGTGATAGTTCTCACCTTCATTCTGCTACGATACAATCCAATCAAAGCCTTGTGTCTGCCAGCACATGGCAAGAGTAGTCTCAGCACAGCCTGGACCACAAAGGGGACCTGGATCTCTTAAGAGGTGGGTGCCTTCTTAGGTACCAGCGTCCTGCCGTTGGCTTTGTCAGCGCTCCTTAGACCATCAGTGTTAGCACAAACCGAGCAGAAAGACTAAGCTGTTGATTTTCTACCTGATACTGAAGCCAGTGGCCTACTTTAATTCACAGTGATTTCATTTGGATTAGCAGGACTTTTCCACTTTGAAGATGAAATAGTAACTTTCTCAAAGTGACCTGTACTGCAAATTCGTGATGCCTGAGAGTTTTATACGTAGAGACTTAGGTGGGAGGCAAGTTAGGTTTCCATGAGACACCAAAGAAATGAGGACTCTGAACTGGGTGGAGCAGGGCCTTCACCTTTCTATCAACTTGTCATACACTCTTTTGGGGACCAAAAGCTAGACAAAAACCACCGAGTCCATGTTGCCTGACTGGAAACAAGCTGTGGCAGGTGCTACTGCAGAGTGCATTTTTGTTCTAGGAGAAAAGCTAATCGTGTCAGCTCTCACAAAATTTGGGGGACCTTAAAGAAATAGAATTAAGGCTTAAGTTATCTATAATATATATAATCAATTAAAAATAATGAATGGATGCATGTAGAATGGATGTGATTTTTTCCAAGTTTATTTTAAAACCTTAGAAATCGTTACACCAGAACTATTCCAAAATTGTACACACTTAAAACTCAGCTCAGTAAAGTGTTGGCACCTTTTAGACTCATAAAAATGAATAAACCATTGCAAAGCTTAAGTCAGAGGGTTTTATTGCTATAATCTTCATGGCAGACAAATCTGAGCAAAACCATTTTCCAAATTCAGACCTCCCTAATATCTAGAATCAGGTAAGCACTAGTTTCCATTCTGTGCTGTCCACATATGTGATATTTATGAAAATCAGGAACCCATCACCACTCTCACCTCATGAACTTCAGACTTCCTAGCAGCCGTTCCCCACCATGAAGAGCACAGCTCACGGGAGGCTGGAGTGGAACAGCGAACCCGACACGGTACTTGCCCGTGACCAGTGGTACCTCCAACAGATGGACCATTTAGGAGCATTTAGGGTACAGCAGAAGAGAAGGAAGGTGCATACATGACCCCTTAAGTTAACAAGATTATCAGAATAAGCGTTCAAGCCCTGATGACCTCACCACCTGGCGAGATCCTCTAGTTTTTCCTGGTCTAGAATGTGCACGTATATACCACAGGGGTTATTTTAATATACATTTACACCACTATGTGTGGGGGCATGACTGATGCAAGAAGCTATTTAAATAGCATAAAACACAGACTTGTGTCAGTAAATTATAGTCTCTGTTTTTAAAAATTTCTATGACCAGGGCTTTCTATACGGTCTCTTTTGAGCCAGGACACAACCTATCAGAGTTACTGGACTCATTCCTCAATGACCTATGACCTCATTAGAACACAAGAGCAGCTCAGGTGAGGTTTCTCAGATTAGAAAATCAGGTTTGCTTCCTCTGTAGGTGTGGAACAGTGAGAGGAATCATTTGTCCTCAGTTGCATCATCTTTGAGAAAACAAACCAGAAAGAACACAACACATAGGCCTTGCCTCTTACAACATGTGGACTTGGGGGTGCTCAGAACACCTGCATGGAACCCCCTCAGATTCCAGGACTTCAGGGGACACCATTAGGAAGTGTGATTTTAAATGAGACACGCATTTGCAAAACAATCGGAAAACATTTATTATACTGAAATGTATACATCCTACTATTAAAAAAACAAAGTAGCAAATTTGCTGGTGCCATAATTTAACCTGCTTCACTGGGACAGACTAATGGTCAATGCTGCTTGGTATAATTTCAAGTTCAATGAGCTTTTAAAACCTGATGAGGAATTCAAAATAGCACACAGCATTAAATGACATTTATTTCCGTGTATCTTTGAGACTCAAAAAGGAATGCTAAACAGACAAGCAAAAACAGTATGCTCACTTCTTTCAAGTGGTTGGTACAGAAAACGTGTTCATATGGAAGCAAAGGGAGATGACAGAAAGGAAAGTTCCTCTGCTTTTAGGGTCTAGAGGAGTTACATATATTTTCAAACTGAAGATGAAAATATTTAGAGACTGGGCTTCTCTGTATCCAATAACCCTTTAAGAATTAAACACAAAAGGTCAAAGCTTTTACCCACTGAAGTAGTTTGTCTTCTGGGGGATTTCAAAGCCTAAATTACTCATTCCTATTTCTGCCTGAACAAAGGTAAGATTCAAATAAACACATTCAGAACCAAGACAGCTGGGTAACTGGTCAGAGCTGCTATAGTTAAAGGGAAACAGAAGTCTGCTACACCACAGGCCTCACAGATGCTTGCTGGTGTGCATGGGGAAGGCTTCGGGCAGAGGGAACCAAGAAAGGAAAATTGCAAAAGCAGTGGGCTCCCTTTGAGAAGTGTACTGGCAAACAAGCATTTGGTTTTGTGGAAGAGGCACCCTTTTTATAGAAAAAAGTTATTATGTAGTATATAAGAAAGCCTCTTAAATAATCACCAAAATATTTACCCATGATTGTACTAAAGCTCATATTTCAAAAGTGTGGGGTATTTTTATGGTACAATTTAGTGTTTCATTTATGACATCTCATTTGCCACAAATAATTTCAACTTGTTGATAATGAAGACCCCTTAACAGCAAGTCAGAAACGACCATACATTTCCCCCTACCTAGGTCACCAGTTTCCATTGTCTGGGACAGGGCTTTAAAAACATTCAGGAACAGGATGGGGTGGGTTGGGGAGGGGAGGGACAGAGAAAGGGAGGAATACCACACGAGTTTAAAAGGGACTTCAAAAATGAAAACCAGAAACAAAACTCTAAAAATAAAGCAGAAGCAAAAGGTTTTCAATAATCTGTGACAAAGCAAAAACACAAAAGTCTTTGTACCTATTAGGATTTACACTGATCCTCTCACCAAGGTACTCTTGATAATGCAGTTTGCTTCAAGCCCGCCTTCCTGGCTCGGATCTTTCCCGATCTGGCACAAGCCCGTCACACACACCCTTAGACATGATTTCTTCCGAGAAGGTGCCAAGCCTCTTACCTGACCCCTGATCACGGTCTCGGCACATCGCATCTGCAGACAGATTCCGTGCTGGCTCCATGACAGCACTGTCCCCCACCCCTGCTCTGGGTCAGCATAAGGTTCAGGCAATAAAAGCCAAACTGGCACAGAAAGGTAAATGCCCACAGTACGTTTTTACATTCATTTCCAAACCGCATACAGTGTAAAAAGACAGCAAAGGCTGCTTCTAGGAACTGTATCTACTGGCCTCTGCCAGAGAAGCAGGCAGCCCCGCTGGCACGTGGCCCCAGAGCCGCACGCGTGCTGTCCCGACGTGCTCACTCTCACGAGGATGCTTGGCTATGGCAGTGACAGTGAGGAGATTCGCCTCTCATACAGCTCATTAGAAAGGTCATCTTGTGTTTTCAATATGAAACATTTCATACGGTAAAATCCAATCCCAAGACTTCTTGGATTCAGTCTTCACACACTTTTAAGCGTGACTTTATTTGGTACTGAATATAGTTCAGACTAAGTACGACATCACTTCAAAACTATGTGGATACCATCACCGTTCTCAGCTGCAGGAAAAGGAAAGAAATGTGACACACAGTTCTTTTGGGCGGGCTTAGGAAAATCAAGGCCATTAAACTGCAAACTCCCAGAAAGCTATAGCTTCTCTTCCCAATTCAAATTACCTTTAAGTCTAGAGAGAGAGCATCTGCACAATCCCTGTTGGGGTATTTTACTTTCTGATGTGGGGCCCATGTGCCCATGAGGGTCAGTACCCCTGCTGCCTGTCTGCTCTGGGGCGTGGGGGGAGTGAGGGGGCGGGAGCTGGGGCTGGCGCAGACTCCTGGGCAGGCCCCAGGCCAGCCAACTCCGCATGACACACGCACACTGGGTGCTTCCATCCACCTTTCCTGGAAATGAAGTTTTTAACCTCCTCAGAGGCAGATCTGAGACATTCTGAAAAAATCACTACTTTTGTCTGATGGCCTAGTGTTTCTCAGGAAATGGCTGGAAGTAGTACAGGCATTCATCACGGAACAAAAATGTTTTCATGAGGACAGGAGTCTGAATAACATGCTGCGATCAGAGGGGATGTGCTAAGATGTCTGACATTAGCAACATCCACTGCTTTCTTAGAACACAATGATATGATTACAGTAAGACTTTCCTTTTTTAGACCTTTTGAGTTTTGGAGAGTAAAAGCTGTACTGCTTTGACGACAAAATGCTGAGCAGAAGAGTGCTAAGCCCAAGAGGCTGTGACAGTGAAAGAGGGAGTGAGCCAGCTCAGGGGAAGCTACTGTGCCTACCGCTAACGGAATGGCAAACACAAGATGCCACACGCACATGAAGCCGACCAGGCGCTGCAGTTTTGGACTCCATCCTTCGAGAGGGACTACTGGGAAAGGGGGACACAGCGCCTTGCTCTCTGAGGTGCAGCTTTTGTGTTAGGCCTGGATTCGGCTCTTAACCCACTGGATTTTAAAAAGTCTCCTCATATAAAAATTTTGCATTTAAAAATCCCTCCATTAGCCCTCTGAGCCCCATCCGGGCCCTTCTTCAGTATTTTTTCCCTAAATAACTGCAGTGCCTTCCACGGCTTAGAGTCACTGTGGATGTGCTAAAGGCTTCCAAATTCCATCTCAAGTCCAGGCCTTTCCTGCCCACTCCAGATGGGGATAATTCACTGCCAACCTGGCTTTTCCAAGCACATATAAAATGGAACTCTTGACTGTGTCTCTCCCAACCAGTCCTGCTTCTCTACTAGGTACACCGTCTGCCCAATGGCTCTTAACAAGAGTTACCCCCACAGTGCCACTCAAATGTAGAGCCCAGCAGGACCCGCCCATAAATGTGTCAGACCCCAGTGACCTCTCCTGCCTCCAGCTTTCCTCCAATTCCCATCTGCTTTCACAGAGTCATAAGAGTGGAAGAAAAGAGCGCCTGGGTGGCTCAGTTGGTTAAGCCACTGCCTTCGCTCAGGTCACGATCCCGGAGACCCAGGATCAAGTCCCACATCGGGCTCCCAGTTCCGCGGGGAGTCTGCTTCTCCCTCTGACCTTCTCCCCTCTCTTGCTCTCTCTCAAATAAATAAACTTCAAAATCTTAAAAAAAAAAAAAAAAAAAAAAAAATAAAAGGGTGGAAGAAAAACCTAATCCCATTCATCCTTTGTTGAAACAACTTCACTGATGTCTCCAATGCATTTCAAATAAAATCTCAGCTACCCTCATGCCCAGGTCCTGCACACCAGACCACACCTTGTACTCTGACTCTTGCTCTGTGTGCCCCTCACGCTGTGTGGCAGTGACACAGCCTTTGCTTGGCCCTGCACAGCAGCCCAGCTCTTTCCTGCGTACACCTTGGGGTGTTCCTCAGGTGGGCATCTCCCCTAACTCTTCAAGTCTCAGCATTACTAACACCTCCTCAGAGAGGCTTTGCCCATCCGCTTCAAGTCCCCCCTACCCAGCACCCCCTTAAACACAAGCACCTCCCACTTACCCACTCCTCCAAGGCACTTAAAAGATTTTGTAATTGCATGCATCTGGTGGCTAATTCTGGTTTGCCTTCCCTACCAGGAGTTCCATGGAGTGTTTTGTTAAAGACCTCTCTAGCACCAAAAGCTGTCTGACACAAGGTACTCAAGAAAATGGTGGCTGAATTCAGTACTTTTTCCCAATAATCTGGGACTGACTCCCCTTCCTTATTTGTTAGTTTCTATTACAACCACTAGAAATATTCTCTTGATTCATTTTTCAAACTCTTAAAACTAGTAAAGCCAGCATTTTCAAAAGTAAGCACACAAGGTGACTGATTACAAGCACACACCATCTTTCATTTCAGCATTTCAAGACACATGCACTCATGCAAAGTACCTTTTACTGTGAAGAATAAAAAACAACTCTCATCTTGAAAGTTCTGAACCATCTAGAAAGATAAAGCAGATAACAATTAAGATCCAATTGTTTTTTCCCTGAGCTGATCAGAAAAGAGTAGAATTAGCAGCTCCAGGAAAATGTCATCATCTGTACACTGTTGCACAAATACAGAACTCAGTGGTCAAAACAGTAACTCGTGAAGGCAGCATGAGGTGGTAAACATTCGCACCTGCTACACTGGCAGGGCCTCAAGCTGACCAGGCCTGCCCATGTCTGGTCCCTGAGATAGCACCACAACCCGCCTGACCCACTGGGAGCTTTCCCGGCTGGGCCCTGTAATGACTCTTAACACAGAGTCACAGCGTTAGTGGTCTATTATTACCTGTTTGTTGCTGAACACTGGGAGAACCTTAACATTTTTAAAAATGAATCATCAGGGACACCTCAGTCAGTTAAGCACCTGCCTTTGGCTCAGGTCATGATCCTAGGGCCCTCAAATCGAGCCCCCATCAGGCTCCCTGCTCAGTAGGGACTCTGCTTCTCCCTCTCAAATAAAATTAAAAAAAAAAAAAAAAAAAAAAAAAAAAAAATTTTTTTTTTTTTTTTAAATAAAGATCAATCATCCAATAGTGAACAAAAGGAAAACACATCCAAACACACTTCTTACATAAAATGGGCCAAAGCCATGCTAACCCCGAAGTTCCCGGAGAGTGTCTAAGGGAGGGTAGGGGAGCAGAGGGGCCAAAGCCACAGGTCTGGGTTTATATTCCTTGTATCACCAGGATATCTGAAACTCCTGGTTTTAGATTCTTACAAATTTGACACCAGTTCTTTAAAACGGATTCTCTGGAGTACTTCCATAAGGGGATCACAGAATTTTTCCATAGTTCTTCAGTGATAAAGAGAAAGGATATGCCAGTGTGGAAGGGAAAAGCGATGGCACGCCAGTTCACATTACCTGATCGCTAACAAGAATGTGAATACCGGTGGGCCCCTGTCTGTAGACCTGGTTAATCTGGTGGAAAGGAATATTAAACACCAATGCAAGTTTTCGAGCAACTTCTGAAGCAACCATTTCTTCCAAGTAGATTGCATGATAAACTGAAATAAAAAATAAGAGTAGCTTTTTAGCAGTAATCGTTGATCTGTTTTCCACATCTCTAAGATCACCCCTTTCAAAGTATTAAAAAACATATGTATAAAAATTAAAAATGGGAACTAGTATCTTTCCTCCCTTACCCCCTGAAATAATAATAAATTAACAATGTCACAGGTATAATTTAATAAACGTTAACAGTAATATCTGTATAATAGGGTTTGAAGTTTTCATTTTTCTTAAAAAACAAACAGGAATTTACTGCAAATGTGCACAGGGGTCTTTATGGAGTAATGGGACTAAAACCTGATGGAGGTAGTGACTGCAAAACTCTCAATTTACTAAAATGTCCTTTACTGGACGCTTACAATGGAAGGATTTTATGGTAAATTTCAGCTGAAGGAAACAGTTTTCAAATTATCATGTGTGTCTAGCAATATATAAAAAGAACTCTATCGCTGTTGATTCAGTAATCCTACTACTGGAAATTTATCCCAAGGAATCCCCCAGAGAATGAAACACGGTACAGAAGACACCACATAAAAAGCTAAGGATGTGGACAGTGATGCGTGCTGCTGCGTCCTCCAGAGGCCTGTGTTTCCGGAACATTTCCCTTTGCAGCAGCTGTCGTCTGCTGCCACGTGCATGTCCAGGGAGCCTGGCTCTTACAGGTCCTGCTCGGTCCTGGACTCAAGCCAGCCAGTGAGCAGATCACCGTGCTAGAACTCTCCAGCACCTTCCCCAAACAGGAGGGTCTCTCGTGTGCCTACAGTAACGGAAACCTCTACTAATTACACATTATGGAAAGCTTAGAATGTGGAACTATAGTCAAGGGGAGACAGAGAGCTGATCTAGAGCAGAGTCCCCAAACTAAAGCCTGTGTAAGCCCAGCGCTGCCCTCACTTGTTCTTTTCCAACAGAACTGTATCAGAATGTGGCCGCGCCCATCACCGGTGTCTGGTGGGAAAGAGCCCCCAAAGTCCACAAAGTCAAGGCATTTCCTACTTGGCCTCTTAAGGAAGTTTGCTGGAAATGCAGAAAACCCCTGCCCTAGGGCTAAGCTGGCCAACATTTCCTACATTCCTCCACAAACACCTTCCCAAGTCCAACAGGCCTGACCACATAGATGTAAATGATACACAAGATCCTGATACCTGGAGAGCTCCTTTAGAATTTTATCCTTTCAGATTAACTTTTTTATCTTCAGTCTTCAAACTCACAGCTTTTAAAGTCAAAATGACACCAAGTGGAAAAACTCACAAGAGACTGGGATTTTTCAAACACAAAGTGACACTTATAGGTCTACCCGAAATAAGGTAAATGATTGCCCCTGTGAATTCCATAACACACTTCTTTCTGGAGAGTTCTGAGCATGTTGCCCTTATTTTGCTTGAGAATAGGGCAGAGGGGAGGGAGGTATTACCACACACCCAACCTTACAGATGAGAAAACACATCCTTTAAAAGCGTAACTACTTTTGTTTTTGAGGGCCGTATTTAGAGGAGAGAAGGGCCAGGGTGTGTCTGCCCTCAGCCAGCACTCTATGGATGGAGAATTGCCTGGTGTGTGTGAACGGTGCCCCAAGGACGTGGTGCCGCTCAGCACACAGCTCACAGCACTGGCCCGCTGTCTGTTGGAGACAAGTCCACACACTTAGTGCTGGAACACATGTGAATCTCTGCACATGTGATATTTTAAGGTTTTCCCCCAGTCAATAAAAGGGGGGCAGGGAGAAAAAGAAAAAAAAAAAAAGAAAAACCCTCCTGCTTTCTTGCCAAGCTGCCAATGTTACAGTCATCATTTCAGTAAATTTGAGATGTAAGGGGGGACTAAAAGCCAGCTAAACTCCAAAAGGCATTCAAGCTGGTCTTTCACTTATTGGCGCTTTCCAGCACAGAAAGCCAAATACAAAGGAGACTCAGAGAGTGCTGGAAAGAGCAGAGAAAGGCAGCTAGCTTCCCCTCTCCCGAGGCCTTGGCCCCAGCACCACTGCCCCTCCTGCTGTCCGCAGTCCCACCCAGGCAGCTCAGCGGTCCTTCCAAGCCCCGCGCGGGGCCTTCCTGCTTCTGCCTCCGTGACAGAAAAGGTGCGATGGGAAGCCGTGATGCCCTCAGGACCCACCGTATGGCGTCCCACTGCCACTGTCGCCTCCGCCGCCAGCCGGCTGCTGGCCCTGCAGCGGTGAGCTGCTCGGCTGCTCCTGGCAGACATAGATGGTCAGGCGGGGCCTAACCGACCTGCAATCAGAAGACGCCCCACGTGAGCCGCAGCAGGTACAAAAGACCACTACAGGACTCTAAGTTCTATCTCCTTACGAGAACTTTACGGTATCATTTCATTACACAAAATGACTAATAAAAATATAAAAACACACACCTCACACCAACTATCACAGGTGGTCTAATCTGATGATCCAGACTTTAAACCACTGAGCTGGTGTGTCAGATACTGGTAAATTTAAGTTTCAAGATTAAGTCAGCGATTTAAAGTTAGTAAGATTCGACTGAATGGTCTTCAAGAAATCAGTCCTGCGCATGTGCGTTTCTACAGTCTACCTCTGCCCTCATCAGTGCCTGCCCTGAGGGTGCACACAGAAAAGTCTCCTCCCGAGCATGAGGCCCGACGCCCCACAGTGCCCACACCGGAAAGCATCCCGCCAGAGCTCCCCACACAAACATCTGTCCTCATCACAAGCCAACAGTTCCTTTTTTTTTTTTTTTTTTTTAATTTTATTAATTTATTTGACAGAAATCACAAGTAGGCAGAGAGACAGGCAGAGAGAGAGGAAGAGAAGCAGGCTCCTGGCCAAGCAGAGAGCCCGATGCGGGGCTCAATCCCAGGACCCTGGGATCATGACCTGAGCCGAAGGCAGAGGCTTTAACCCACTGAGCCACCCAGGTGCCCCCCAACAGTTCCTTTTAAACGCTGTATTTTACCTGGACTTCAGGGAATTATAGAGCCGAATTCCATCGGCTGCACCACAAATTTGTACTAGATCCTCCTTTGTCAGTTTTAATAAGTCGGCACCTGGAGAACAGCAAAAAGAGATTCTTTTCAGAGATGGAAAAACAACAGCACGACCGGTTACAGCATCGGTCTTCACACGGTGAACTGTCCCTCAGAACCATCACGGTCTCCTGTGTGTACACTCACAGACACAAACAAAAGAGCATATACACACACTCCCTGTCCCACAGAGAAAATAAATAAATAAATACATTGCTGGCGTTTCTATGTCCTGAATGGAGGAGGAGCACAGAAGCCCAGATGCAGGTCAATCGGACAGATGAGTGGGGCCTACAGGGCTGTCTGTTCCCAGTACACAACTTCACCACCCACCTTGTTTTGGCTGGCTGCTGGTTTTGTGGATAAGCAGGATTCTGACCCCCTGATAATTAACCTTGAGATCACAATAATAAGGTTTTATTTTACAAAAAGAGGAAATGGAAGTCTAGAGTTTTGGGGACCTGCCCAAGTTGGCTCCCTCTGAGTGATACTGCAACTTCCAAACGTTCTGCAACATTACTGTCACAGCAGCCAGTTTTAAAATGAAAGCGAAAACATGGCACAGACTCACACATTACACCTTACGATTTCCCCAAATCACTGCTAAGTGTAAATAACATAGCATCTAGGATCTGCTTCAAAATAGAATAGAAAAGTGGGATGGAAAAGAGTAGAAAGCAAAACCAACCAAAGGCTGGGATGGTTACATGGAAGTTCATCCTCTCCTACTTTTTATGTTTGTGTCCACAATCTTTTTTATTAACATTCAAGGTGTAGTTTATTGCTATAATTAAGATAACCTCTGGGATTAAGGCATGACTTCCAAGCAATACCCGCTTAGGTATGTAACAAGATAATGGAGTTATCTATTTTTGAAGGCTTGAAGGTGAGAGCCTGATAACTTCCTGCCTTATAAAAGAAAGACCACAGAAGGCCACCTCCAGGAGGCACAAACACTAAAGGAGTTGTTTTCCAGAGCCAGGGAAGCAAAGACTGGCTATCTCCCCACTCTCTCCGGAGTCCCACAGCTGTGGCCAGAGATGTGTGTGTGAATCTCAACTTGCATAAAGAACTGGACAGATACTCGTGTGCACAGCCTTTACCGAAGATGAATGGCCACAGACTCTGAGCCAGCAGGTTCCCCCTCCTCCTCCCCATTCTACAGCTGGGAAGCTCCTGTGTAAGGGAAATGCAGGAGGCCAAGCCGAGGGAACAATGCTCACAGCGAAAAGAGCTGAAACTTCTCCAGAGAGAAACCTGTATTCACATAACAGGACCTCCCTTGGTTCCCACAGCCGGAGCTTTTTGTATGTACTCTGCTCTTCACGTCTTTCCTATGAGGGTTCAAGATCCATCTTCCCCAAACAATGAAATTTTTAAATTTCCAATTTTTCACAAAGATATAGTCATATAAAAATATGGCTACAAACTAGCAAGACTTTCATCCATTACTTTAATTTTAAAGGACAAAGGGGCGCCTGGGTGGTTAAGCGACTACCTTCAGCTTGGGTCATGGTCCTGGAGTCCCGGAATTGAGTCCCACATCAGGCTCCCTGCTCATCAGGGAGTCTGCTTCTCCCTCTGACCTTTCCCCTCTCATGCTCTCTCTCTCAAATAAATAAATAAATCTTCAAGAGACAAAGAGCTACACAGGGAATGACTACTTGTCGAACAACAATAAATGGCTGACGGAAGAGAAAATCATGTTCTTTGTGCAATCAAGCTCTCCCCTAGGCCAGGTGTGTGCACATAGTTCTGTCCCTTCAAAGCTTCACACTGCCCTGCCCTGGCCCCACAGCACCTCGGGCAAGGCAAGCTCTCTACCAGTTTACTGTGGCCCAGCAATTCTCAGCAGCTGTTTAGCCAGGAAAAGGGTCCCAGGGCCAAACACACTTGGGAAATGCTGCCCCTGCCCCACATAGTCTATCACTATCTCTCCAAACAGGTTTCCTAGAGCACCACCTGGAGAAGCTCCACTTGGTCCCTTTTAAAATTCCATCAACAGGGGTGCTTGAGTGACTCAGTCAAGCGTTTGACTCTTTGTTTCGACTCAGGTCCTGATCTCATAGGTCATGTGATCGAACCCCGTGTCAGGCTCCACACTCAAGAGGGAGCCTGCTTAGATATTCTCTGCCTCTGCTCCTTCCCCGACTTGTGCTCTTTCTCTCTCCCTCATATAAATAAATAAAATCTTAAAAACAAACAAACAGGGTGCCTGGGTGGCTCAGTGGGTTAAGCCTCTGCCTTCAGCTCAGGTCATGGTCTCACGGCCCTGGTATCAAGGCCCGCATCTGGCACTCTGCTCAGCAGGGAGCCTGCTTTCCCCTCTCTCTCTGCCTGCCTCTCTGCCTACTTGTGATCTCTGTCCAATAAATAAATAAAATCTTTAAAAAACAAACCAAAAAAACCCAAACAAAAAAAATACCAAAAAACCCCACCTACATACTCCCTTAGCTAACACTGCAAGAAAAAACGAACTTAAGTACACAGAAACCATATCCGAGTAGATTCATACCACACACTACTACATAGCAATAAAGAGGAACTACTAATATACATAATCACTTGGATGGACCCAAGGGCATTATTATGCTGATCGGAGAAAAAGTCAGTCTCAAAAGGTCACATATTCTGTGATACCATGTATATAATAGTCTTGAAATGACAAAGTCCAAGAGACAAACCAGATTAAGGGCTGCCAGGGTGTAGGTATGGTGGGGGAGGGGCAGGGAAGCATAAGGGAAATCCTTGTGATGATGTCATAATTCTGTATCTTAACTTTGGTAGTGATTATACAAGTCCATATGTGTGATAAAATGACACAGACCTATATACACACGTTGCACCAATGTCTATTTCCTAGTTTTGCTATCATACTATGATTACATGAGAAACTGAGTGAAGGGTTCACAGAACATCTCTATCTTCGCAAAAGACAATAAGGCAAAAATTACTTCAAAATGAAGTTAATGAGAGAAACTGGATAGAACTGTATACACCTGTACAAAGATGAAGGTACCTGAAACTGGTGAACTGGGAGACTACTGATGTTAGCTTCCTGACATAAGAGGTATGCAGGATATCACCACTAGGTGAAACTGGGTATGACTCCATCATAACTTCAAAAAATTTTTAAAATCAAGGTTAATAAAAGTACAGAAACAAGCACAAAACACACATGTACACAAACACACACAAACACAAAACATACCTGAAAAATTGGAAAACAGTCTTGTATAGGAAGAGAATCTGTTTTTGAGCAGCCATTGTTGGGTTTCCTGGATCGTGGCTGAAGGCTGAAGTTGCTATTAACAAGGAAAATGAACATAAACAGAAACTATTCAAAGTTAATAAAAAACCCAAGTCACTGGCATGTTATAAACATTTAAACAAAACACAGAAATACTCCAAGTTTAAGCAAAAAAACAAACAAAACAAAACAAAAAAACAAACCCACTCAAGAGGAGGACAGGTCTGACTACTCAGAGACCCAAACAATGCCTCAAGCCCCTGTAAGAGCCTCAAAAATGCAGGATCCTTAGAGCTTCGGACAGCTTCAGGATGAAGACACTTACTTCACTGGAGGCCTGTGAAACTCCATCTCCCTGATGGTTTGGGGAAGAAGAATTGCTGGGGAGAACAGAAGGAAGGAGAGGAGAATTATTATACACACACACACACACACACTTAAAACCAAAACATTAAAGGCTATTAAACTGGGTCAGTGTAATATAATACTGTAGGACAGAGAGTGTAGATCTGTGATTGAGAATGCTGGCACCACTGGTCAGGCAGTGAGTATGAGGAAAGTGACAGGAGGCTGTTCAGCTATCGCCTCATCCTCCTCTTCTCTAGCAGTTCCAGGTAAGAACTTCAAGTTTTAGGAAACAAAAGGATTCCAATTATTTCCAGGGGTGCCAGGAAAATGAAGGACACTCATTCATTTTAGTAAGAAAATAGTATGAGAAATCAAGATAGAGTTAGAAGTACTGCAAAATACATACACACATGCACACACACACTTAATAAAATAAGGAGGTCCAAGAAATAGTCCTAAGTAAAAATGGAAAATAATTATCTGTTTAATTAATACATTTACCCATGATTAATGAATGGGAAATTCAGGGAAGCAAAAGGAATAATGGCGTGCCACTCTCCTTGAGTTTTTAAGATCAAACAAAACCGCAGACAACTCCACAGGGAGTGTGGCGCCTTCCTGGTCCTGGGCTCAGACTCCTTTCTTAGCACCTGTACTTCAGTTATGTAAGTTATGATGCTGACTGGTGACTCTACCTCTGGGCCTACACGGACAGGGAAGGTGTGGGTCACCTGGAGAGCACAGCTCCTGGCCAGCACAGGGCGCGGCTGCTCCCAGAAGCTGTGTGCTCAGCCAGCAGTGCGGGAGCCCAGAGCCCCCCTCTGAAGTCATGACCTCTGCCCCAGACGACTCGGCCTGGGCTGTAAGACAAGAATGGCCCCCACATGGGGACATGCCAGTCCCTGGGCTCTCCAACGTAGAGTCGAAGAGTGTGTTCCTCCTCGTAAAGCACAAAGATCTACAAGATGAGCTGCCTGCTGGTCTACTCATCTTCACAGGAAAAAGCATGTTTTTTGTGTTCTTATCAGACCCTGTTACAGACAGGATATTTGTGTTCCCTCAAAATGCATACACTGACCATCCTCACACACACACCCCGCCCCCCCGGCATGACACAGTGAGGAGGTGGCGCCCCAGGGAGGGACCAGGAAGGCAAGCTCAAAATGGTGTCTGCTCCACTGCGTGAGAACCCAGGTGGCACCTGCAACCCGGAGGGCCCTTGCCAGAACCACCCAGACCTCACACTTCCAGTTCCACAACTGCGACAAACAAGTTTCTGTTGTCTCTAAGGCCCTGGTCTGGCGTTCTGTCACAGTAGCCACAGCTGACAAAGACAGACCTGTTGGTGTGGCCCGAGTGTAAGAAAAAGAACCTTCCCCTCCCAATCTTGTGTATTTTTCCCTTCCCAGTGAGAAACCTCCCAACAACAGGGCACTTCTGATCTGACCTGCTCGGGATCAGCTCTTCAGCAGAGCCCCAGGAAGGCAAGCCCCCTCCCACCTCCAGCACCATGTGGCACCTACAGGACCCATGTGACAGCATCCCCTGCCCCCACCCAGAGCCTGCAGGGTTCACAGATGCCAATCACAGCCAGAGAATAAAACAGAACAAGTCCACCATCCCCATTTCTAAAACCACAGTGAAGTTTTAGAAACTGAAAGTCTTTCCTATAAGTTTAAAGACTTACCATAATAAAGAAAGAAGTAAATAGTCTGTGTAACGTGAGGCAGAAAAAGCAGAGCAGGAACAGCTCTCTGATATGGTGCGCACTGAAGACAGATGTACTTTATAATAAATGCAATCTGAACCCATCCGAGTCACAGTTTCACCTTAATAACTCACTGTCCACTATCTATGAACTCCATTCATGTTCTTTTTCTCTCACAAAGAATGTACCTTGAAAATGCCTCCTTTTCTACAATTCCTACAGCTGTGAATATATGAGGCATGAAGGGCGAACAGCAAAAAGGCTGGCAGGCAAAGAAAAGACAATTTTCCTCCCAAGCTGAGGCGGCTAGCTCCCGTGACTATAAACCTCAGACAGATATAAAAAAGAGGATGCTGGGAAGTGAGAGAGAGGGCAGTGAAGGAGCACAGTGTGGCCAGCCCCGGGTGAGCGACGGCACGATGCGGTACCTGTCGGGGATGCTGCAAGTGCCCTGCTGTGGGGACGTGAAGGCGGGCGCTGTGGAAGGGCTGCTATTCACGTAGGCTGTGGGGGTATCGGGCCATGGAGAACACTAAGGATAGAAACAAAAATAAATTAATGAGATGCTTTTAGAAGTGTACGGAAGAAATATTTTCGTAAGTCACTCTCTAATCTGGCCAAATGCGAGGTTATAAAACACAAGACACCTGACACTCATCAAGCAACCTTCACAGAAACATATCAGATTTATTACTTCTGTGTGGCTTTACCTGCCACCCACGACTACACACTGCTTAATCTCAGGGAAGACCTGAAGTGATGACAGCAGCAAAATGTATGCAGGCATTTTTAACGTACACTTCTGTATAGCTGACTTCTAAGAACTTTCACTCCCCACTTTATCAGTTCTGTAGCAGGTACCTATCAAGGTTTAGAACAGCAGAGGCAAAAATGGATTCACAAGCAGTATCTGACACCTATGGTGACCAGGACAGTGGCTCTGTCCCCCTAGCACTCCTCTGCCCGCTAACCCAGAGCAGCCTGGCCAGTACCCCCTTGCTTTCTTTGGAGTCCTCTAAGATTAATAATCCCCAACCAAAGTGAGGCAGGCCGAGCATCAACACACATCAACATGTACCATGCTGCCCATGTCTCTCTGTCTACCTGTTTACTATTTACAGTTTCTGGAAGGTGCATGGTGAACTAGGGTATTTTTCAATCCCATGTACCATTCTGACCAAAGATAGAACAAAGATACAAAGACGCATTGACTATTACAATCAGTAGAGGTGAAAAAGCTAAAGTCAAAAGCATGCTGAGCAGGCTGAGCAGGCCAGGGCAGCCAAGGACGAGCCTTCAAACCTGAGCTATGTACAGAGCGAGTCCATCTCATATTCTGATATTCCCTCTAGAATGAGTCTGTGTTAGGACATCCTCGGTTTCAAAGCCCCCTTCAGAATCACTATGGTCCTATTTTACACAAAACAGTTGTCATACCTCACCATGGACAAGAGATAGAAAACCCTCCCCCAAACCAAGCAAAAGACCATTCAAAGACACTAGGATAAATTTTAAAAGTACGTGACTCTAAAACAATTCTTCCGGTGGCATCGGGGTGGCTAGTCAGTTAAGCGTCTGCCTTTGGCTCAGGTCAAGATCCCAGAGTCCCGGGATCAAGTCCCCACACTGGGCTCCATGCTCAGTGGGGAGTCTGCTTCTCCCTCTGACCCTCTCCCCTCTCACACTCTCTCTCACTCTCTCTCTGAAATAAATAAAATATTTGAAATAAATAAAATAAATTTTAAAAATGTAAATTCTTCTGTATGTCAGGCAGTTTTCAATTCCTTGTCTTCAAAAACTGAAGGAGACCTGGTGTCAGCTGACACGTACTGAAATAATCTACCAGTTCATACAAAAATAGGTCACTGGGATTTTGTGCGGATAACTCAACAGGAATTTCAAGACCTGAGTGACACTGATAAAAGAAAAATAAGCACATCTAAATGAAGTTTCTCTTATCTATTAAAAAAAAATCTAGAATTTGATTGCATTCTACCCTGTCTCGTTCTTCATGACATATTTCCAATAACATTTCTATTTTTATAATTAAACAACTGTTCATCAAAATGTGTATGATCTGTTGTTTTGATAAACTGGTACCAGTCATTAAGTAGTTTTCAATTTTTTGGGCAGCCTGGGTAGCTCAGTCAGTAGAGCATGTGGCTCTTAATCTCAGGGTCCTGAGTTCAGGCCCCACAATGATTTACCTAAAAAAAAAAAATTTCTCAACTGACAGGCTTTATGGTCAAAGGAAATTATAAATCTCCGTTTCTGTAAGTCTGTCATAAAGAAGTAACAGGGTGGGGCACCAGGGTGGCTCAGTGGGTTAAAGCCTCTGCCTTCGGCTTAGGTCATGATTTCAGGGTCCTGGGATCGAGCCCCGCATTGGGCGCTCTGCTCAGCAGGGAGCCTGCTTCCGCCTCTCTCTCTGCCTGCCTCTCTGCCTACTTGTGATCTCTGTCAAATAAATAAAATCTTTAAAAAAAAAAAAAAAAGTAACCAGGGTGATCATTAAGATTTTTAGGCAGGGACACCTGGGTGGTTCAGTCAGTTGTGTATCTGACTCTTGGTTTCAGCTCAGGTCATGATCTCAGGGTTGTGAGATTGAGCCCCATGTCAGGCTCAGTACCTCAGGAAGTCTTGATTCTCTCCCTCTCCCTCTCTCCCCCTTTGCCCCCTTACGCTTCCCCCTGCTCGCTGCATGTGCTCTCTAATAAATCAATCAATCAATCTCTAAAAAAAGATTTTCAGGGGCGCCTGGTGGCTCAGCTGTTAAGTGTCTGCCTTCGGCTCAGGTCCTGATCCCAGGGTCCTGTGATCGAGCTGCACATCGGGCTTCCTACTCAGCAGGAAGCCTGTTTCTCCCTCTAAAACTCCCCCTGCTTGTGTTCCCTCTCTTGATGCTACCTCTCTGTCAAATAAATAAATAAAACAAATCTTTAAAAAAGTAAAAAATAAAGATTTTCAGGCATAAAAGTACATCATATTGGGATGAAATTATTTATGGGGAGTGGAAGAGAAAAGAGATCATGAAGGAAGAGTGGGATAAAATTTGTATATGTGCTGCCGAAGCGAGCACAAGAGTGGGATAAAATTTGAGACTTAACTAAAGAGCTTCATCATGAGCTATTTAAATGAACGATAATGGGTGTCAAATTGCTATGAATACACTTCCAAAAGTAGTATAACAGTTTTATCTTAAATTATAATACAAATATTCACGATGCCAGAAAATTGTCCTTTGCAACTGTTTAGATTTATGATGAAAACTTTCACGTCAACCTGAAAACGTGCAAGGGAGTACATACTTTTTCAAAATTCTTTTGCGTGTAGAAGTGTCCAGACCCCAGTGTGAAGGAGCTAAGAGACTGTGAAGCACTGAGGGCAGAAACTAGTCTCCCCGACGGTTACAGGTGCTTACAACGGGTCTGACACCCATCAGAAGTACGGATAGAGGGGCGCCTGGGTGGCTTAGTTGGTTAATCGGCTGCCTTTGGCTCAGGTCCTGATTCCAGGGTCCTAGGATCGAGCCTCGCATCAGGGTCCCTGCTCAGCAGAGAGCCTGCTTCTCTCTCTCCCTCTGCCTGCCGCTCTGCTTACTTGTGCTCTCTCTGTCAAATAAATAAATAAAATCTTAAAAAAAAAAAAAAGTACAGATAGAGGGAAAATAAAACAAATCCCAGGTTCTTAACATTCTTTACAACCACCCATTGTGTATTCCCTCAAAAACTGGAAAAGTAACTACAGACTTACTGTTTCAACTACTACTAGTTTTCAAAAAAGCAATCGAGGGGCGCCTGGGTGGCTCAGTAGGTTAAAGCCTCTGCCTTCGGCTCAGGTCATGATCCCAGGGTCCTGGGATCAAGCCCCGCATCGGGCTCTCTGCTCTGCGGGGAGCCTGCTTCCTCCTCTCTCTCTGCCTGCCTCTCTGCCTACTTGTGATCTCTGCCTGTCAAATTAAAAAAAAAAAAATTAAAAAAAAGCAATCGAATATTAGCTGGACAGGACAGATGAATTCACTGCACGCACACCAATTTCATTCTCAACAACCTTTTGCACAACAGGGCTCCCTCCTTTCAAACTGGGGCCTTGTTTCTCCCTTCACCTGACAGAGTAGCATGTCCCCTGTTTATGCGGTCTGAGGAACCAGCTAACAGATCTAGTAACTTTCTGGATGCCTCATGCCCATAATCAGCTCCACTACCTGGAAGATGATTTTCATGCTACACCATCCTCCCCAGATATAAAATACGAGGTAATCTAACATGCACATCTAAGTGGGGTGAACCTTTTAATATCAAGCCTCTGCATACCTGCTCATCACTGCCCACTGTCTGCAGACATGAAGCCATCAACAGCTTCAAGTTAACAGCACAGGAAGACGGCGGGGACAACCAAGGTATAGGACCTCCCTAAACACACCTATTTCACTTTAACACAAGCTTGATTCCTTTAACAGTAGAAAAGCAGGGCTGCTAAACAATGGCCGACATCTAAAACTTGCCCAATAAATAGGAGCCAGACTCACTGAACACCAGGAAATCAGTGTTCGGAGAAAACTAGTCCTGCTAGGAGGCCTCAGCTTTTTGGGAGTAATGGGTGGCAGGATGTCCGATGGCCAGGCTGCTTGCCACACTATGGCCTGCCTGCCCGTATCTTATGGGCTCCTCTTCCAGTCTGAAACCAGGAGGCCAAGGCACATGGAGGAAGACCTGCCCGATGTTTCTCCTACCTTGTCCTGCCTCCCTGAGTGTAAAGGTAAGCAGTGTGGGACTGCCTCTGTTCCCGAGGAGAGTCTATAATTCATGACAGCTCCAGCAACATGTGACTTGGACTCATGTGGGCAGTTTCCGTGCACTGTAAACAAAGTCCCGCCCCTGATAGACTGGGAAATGCCGACCCACCTTAGAGTGGAGACACTGGCAGCCCCAAGGTGAGCCAATGCAACACAGCTCAGAGACCAAGACCAGAGGACGCATTAAAGGTTTCACCTCTATTAACCAGCAGTAGGGCCTCCATTCAGTGTGGGACCAGTTCATGCAACGCCTTTTAACAGGGGAGCCTAACCTCCCTTCCTAACAAAAGTCAACTGTCACTATCCAACAACTGCGAGAAACGCTGGCCTTTCTTTGTAGGCACTTGCAGAAATGTAGGAAATGCTGCAGACTTTTTTTAAGGGATTAATCTGTACCTTGCTTTTTTAAAACAGGTTTCAAAGAGGATCTCTAACCACCCCCTACAAGTATCTTAACCCAACCAAACTCAGCCCATGGGAGCAAACAACACGCTCTAGGAAGATGTGAAATCCCAGGCCAGTGAACTGCTGACGTTTTGCACACTTTAGACTTGAGTTAAGAATCATTAATAATTTACCAACAAATTCTACCATCTCCAGATTAGCTCTGGACTATAACAGATTAATTTATGAAATATCAGAACCCATTCCTTTCAATTAAATCATTACCAACAAGAAGGGTAAAGTGAATTGAGTTACCAGGATCTCCCCAGAAAAGTTTACCAAGAACTATCTGTGTCTTCAGCTGGGAAATGAGACAGAGGATTAACAACATAAAATTGGAGAGGGGCATTCTGGGGTAGGAGCATATAGTTGTTCCATACAACCTCTGACCCAAATCCCAAAAGCCCAGTTAAAGAAAATGCATCATGTATGCTCCCCATCCATCCCGATGACTACTACTTCTTTACTGCATAAAGAAGCACTTAAAATACTGTCATGCAATGCTTTAACCTGGAAATGAGGTTCCTGTGATAGTGCCTGTGACTTTCATAGCACAGCAAATTACACATACATATGTAAGTGTGGAAATCCCATTTGGCCCCTTGATAGTACAAACGCTGCAATAAGATGAAGAGAGTAGCCAACAATACATATGATGACAGCTACTTTTAAAAATTCGAGAATGCGGGGCGCCTGGGTGGCTCAGTGGGTTAAGCCTCTGCCTTCAGCTCAGGTCATGATGTCAGGGTCCTGGGATTGAGCCCCGCATCGGGCTCTCTGCTCGGCAGGGGGCCTGCTTCTCCCTTCTCTCTGCCTGCCTCTCTGTCTACTTGTGATCTCTGTCAAATAAATTAAAAAAAAAAAATTCGAGAATGCTCTGTGTTTGAATATTTACATATACTGTGGGTACGTTGTGATCAAAGTCTAAAGAATACGATAAACCTTGGTGGACCATTCGATAAAGAACTGGGTCATGAAATAAAGATCTGCTGCCCTGAAGCTGACAAAGCCAAACCCCCTGACTGGATGTTGGGGCAATCAGGTCTGAGGGTACCAAGGTGCACTATTCTGGCCTGAAGCAGAAGATCACAATGCAGGAGGCAAGAGGAAACACCAATTCAAAGATTTCTTTCTACCAGTGCTGCCAAACAGGCGTTTAAAAGCACAGACAGACGCACATTCTTATCCTACATGCAGGGAAATGTGACACAAAGTATTGCATGTTAATGTCAAGCTTGCTGCCATCATGTCTCTAAATATCCATGAAAGTTTCTTATCAGTTATACACATGAGAAAGCAAAACCTTTAATTACACAAAAATGGTAACTATTTTACTAAAGAAAGTATTTTCAATTAATTTCAGTGCTCTTGAAGGAAGTGTGTGTGCAGAGGAGAGAGAGGGAGGGAGGGAGGAGGGGGAGGAGACAGGGAGGGAACACATTTTTGAGTGTCGTTTTTCCCTCCAAAACCACCCACTATGGTCAACTTTGTTTTAAAGTGTTAGATTTAGGAAATTTTCCTCAGTGAGGAACAAACAGAAAGCAGGAAGTCTAAACAAAAGCAAATTAAATCAAGACAAGGACATCAAAAACAAATTTGGCTTTACTTTTCGGTGGAAGTTGATCCTATATCTAACACTGCACAAGGTTTCTTGCACAATGAAAAGAGAAGCAGAAGTCCCTTACACTGCCTCGCTTTGCCAGAGAATCACCGTAGTCTGCTGGCAAAGTCCGCTTGCTGGACTTTTTCTGCTCATGTTCAACTGCATCTTCAATTATAGGCTCAAGCCTCATCTGGACAAACACCAAAGATTGGGATCAATGTCTTTTCATTATACAAAGAAAGATCTAATACCCTGTTTTATGTCTCTGCAGTCCAATTAAACAATTGTATGACTAGCAGGATTCAAAGTTAAAGAAAATGCAAAACCCCAGCAGTGACAAAAATCAGACATTCTAGGCCCCGACTTAATCTCTTGCCAACTTCAGGGTTTGTAAGGTCTGTTTCTGAGACCAGATTGGGATTTCAGCATCTTCATTCACGACCCCACCCAGGAAACTAATCTATTTAAAACCCCCAAATTTAAATAAAATCTTTCCCCCGCAAATTTCACAAAGAACATTATGTCAATCTACCACCCAATCTTCCCCAACCCCTTTGTAGCAAAACTCCTCCGTAGAGTGAGTGCTACTATGCAAAGCGCTGCTTCTCCTCAGAAACCAAACCGCAGCCCCGCATTACCTCGGTGAGGATGGTGGTGTCATAGGATGGCTGATACTTTTCCTTCTCGTGAGCTGTTCTCTTCTCCATCTTCTCTCGGTCCGTTTTTTGTTTCCTGTCTGCACCTTTAGGCTTAAAAACAAAGTGCATGATTTCCTCCATCAGGCTGAAGACGGACAATTTACAAGCACAACTGGGCCTTACTAAAAAGCCCAGTTTCTATCGCGTACCTTAAACACTTTGATTTGGCAGCTAGCTGAGTGTAGATGATCCGTGTATTCTCCGTTTTCATTCTGCTTAAAGGTGTCGACCTGAATCCTGAAAGGCACTCCCTTCTCACCTCCGTGCTTCCGGGGAGTAAATTCTGTGCTGATGCAGTGTACCTGGAAAACAGCTCAAGCTGAAAGGGACTCAAAGTATCATCCACTGAGTCTCCTTCTATTTTGCTCCTTCTCAGATGTCCTACCCCAGCCATAAATTCAGGATCCCTCAAACAAACTCTTACATACTGGCCAGATGGCTGTCATGAATTCTTCCGTATGGCTTTCCTTTCACAAATCCAACTGGGCCTTTCTGAACTTTCTGGCGACGAGCTCTTCCCCAGTCCAATGCCTCTCCTCTCACACAGGACTTGTTCGGGTTAGAGGGACGCCTCTACCTCCACTCTGGACCGAATGATGCTCTCAGACCCAGGGTCTTTGGCCTTTCACGTGGCTCAGTCCACAGCAACCAAACCCATTGCTGAGAGCTTCTGTCACCTGCCCTCTTTTGTCACTGCCCCAACTCTAGCCAACCCATCAGGTTACTGCTGTGCCTACATACATAAGCTGTGACACTGCCCAGGGAGTGGCTACTACTCACCCTGCCTGTATCGACCTAAACTGTTCTGTCAACCTGCAAAGTTCACTGAGGACAATGCTCATTTCCTACGACTTCTGCCCCTCTCCTAACACCAGCACAATGTCAACTGACATAAACCATGTCCCACGTGACTATTTGTTGGCAGGATACAGAGAGTATTTGGTAAACCAAAAAACCACAAAATACTAAAGATTCTTAAAAAATAAATACATAAGTAAACAAATATTCTTTACAGTTCATACAAATCAGAGACTACTTAGATTGATCAGCAATTAAGCAATCTCCCTTTCTACATAAAGATTACCCACTCAGTTTTAATTCCACCACTTACAAATCTGAATATACAGGGTATAAAAATTACTATCAATCATATTTTACATATATTAACGTTTCCCAAAAAACTCATCTCTCGGGGGTACCTGGGTGGCTCAGTGGGTTAAAGCCTCTGCCTTCAGCTCAGGTCATGATCTCAGGGTCCTGGGATCGAGCCCCACATTGGGCTCTCTGCCCAGCAGGGAGCCTGCTTCCCCTCCTTCTCTCTCTGCCTGCCTTTCTGCCTACTTGTGATCTCGGTCTGTCAAATAAATAAATAATAAATAAATAAATCTTTGGAAAAAACCTTATGTCTTAGGGATACAAGCTGAGTATTTATGGGTGAAACGAAATGCCTGGGAGTTGCTTAAAAGTATTCCATCAAGGGGCGCCTGGGCGGCTCCGTGGGTTAAAGCCTCTGCCTTCGGCTCAGGTCATGATCCCAGGGTCCTGAGTTTGAGCCCCACATCAGGCTCTCTGCTCAGCAGGGAGCCTGCTTCCTCCTCTCTCCCTGCCTGTCTCTCTGCCTATTTGTGATCTCTGTCAAATAAATAAAATCTTAAAAAAAAAAAAAAAAAATGTATTCCATCAATAACTAAAACAGAGGAAACTACTAATAACTGTTGAAGCCAGGTGATGGGTACATAGAGGATTCATTACTATTCTATTACTTTTGTGGGGTTTGAAATTTTCAATATTAGAATGTCTTTTAATTATGCTAGAGAGAAAATCTTGAAACATACACTTTTTTCAATCCCACCCTTTTACTCTATTTTATTTAAGTGAACTCTACACCCAGTACTGAGCTTGAACTTATGACCCTGAGATCAAGATTCGTATGCTCTACTGGCCAAGCCAGCCAGGCACACTAATCCTACCCTTTTAAACAGGAGCTTTGGTTAAAGAGAAATGCATCTTATGAAAAATAGAAGTTTTGATTACTGTCACTACCAATGGTAAAAGTTAACATCTGATTCACGTTTTACATATCAGATTGTCTTTATATATGTCAGCCTATAAATGATAAATGTAGTAAATTAACTCCTATTTAACAGTCTATACGTATGTAAATTTAAAATATATAAAATAGAAGACATTATAAGATAGCTTACAAATAAGCATTTAAAGAAGATAACATCATGTGTCAAGAATTTAACCTCATCTATGGCCTTTCAAATGACTAGGTTAGTATACTTTTATTAATGTAAAAACTCCAAACCTGAATGAAAGCAGACGTGCGCTTCGCAGGGTCCCACAGAAATTCAACCGCATTTAACTGGCTTGGATTTGTCCTTGTGTCAATTATTCCCACAGACATTGGAATATCTGTATTTTTTAAAAAGTTACATAGAAATTCATCCACTACGAATAATTAAAAAGCTTACCACTTACTATAATTATGTTCAAATGAAATTATTTCACCTCCACACACAACCTTTTTCTTCAATGTTTTCCCGGTCAATGATGCTAATATGGAAACCCATCTAAAGCTACCAGACTTTCTCCCACCATGGTTTCTATTTCATTTTATTCAACATATGATGGATGGTGTCAATTAAGAATTAAATAAATGGGGGCGCCTGGGTGGCTCAGTGGGTTAAAGCCTCTGCCTTCGGCTCGGGTCATGATCCGGAGTCCTGGGATTGAGCCCCACATCGGGCTCTCTGCTCAGCAGGGAGCCTGCTTCCTCCTCTCTCTCTGCCTGCCTCTCTGCCTCCTTGTGATCTCTATCTGTCAAATTAATAAATAAAATCTTTAAAAAAAAAAAAGAATTAAATAAATGATTTCAAACTCCAAATTCCTGGCTCAGGTTCTTTAAGCACCAAAAAACTACTTCATTTCTAAATTATTTAACAATGCAAGGCACGCAGGATCTGCTAACACCAACACTCTCTCCACACAATTATACATGGTGCCTTCTCTACCAAACAACTGCCTTCATCTCTCCAGAGTCTTCTGACAGCCACCCGTACCTAAATCGAGAAGTCTGTCTCCTGGACGATTCCACTTCCAGCCTTCAAGCTGCTGATGCTCTGTGTATTGTAGCCGTCTGTCATGGAATACAACTCTTATGATGCTCTATGGAACAAGCGGGGAAAATGAACACTTTTAAACTGGTCCAGCTAAAATGCAGAAGCATTTTCGATTCTTATGCATTAACCTGTAATAGAAGAATATACCAAAAAATATTCTGCTTTAAACATTTTCTAAGTGAACTGCTTTGTTCTTGGAATATCTGGATAACTCAGAAATAAAAGGCACAAATAAAATGATTACTTAGGTAAAATTTTTATTTACAGTCTGATACTGCAATTCAAAATTAAGGTATATGCCCATAAAATCACTGAGTAAGAATTCTATTTCTATGAAGAAAACATCAGATGCACACAGGAATTACTAAAGCCAAACAGTAGTATAAACAGAAACAGAGAAACCCAGGTACAATGGTAAAACTGTTCATTTAAAATAAGTTAATAACTGGACTTCTTTAAAGACCCAAGGATAAATACTAATATATAAAAATGCTGAATCATTATATTGTACACCTGAAACTAATATAACACTACATGTCAACATATACTTCAGTGAAATAAAAAATAAAGAGATAGTCAAGGAATAGGTGGGGGAATCTGCAAAATAAGACCCAGCAAAAAAAGAATATATATGCAAAAGTCATTCTCTACTATTTCATTTGCAAGAGGTTATCTGAGGTAAGCAAGGGAGAGAAAAAACAAAACAAAACAACCCACAGGTAAGCTTTACCCACACACTACGGTTCCTAGGGAAGACTTCACTCCACAATCTGGCCAGTTCTCTGCTCTCTGCCCATCCCTCCTTCGCCTCCCACAGGTTTGGAGTGCCAACTATTGTTTCACTCCAGGAACAGGAAAACAAGTCATCCAAATGCCTTCAGATACCACATTTGCAATAATTTGTGTTTGTGACACATGCATAGATAACTTTCTCATGATGCAGTAAGATATTCACATTTCCAGTAGACACTCTGGTATAAATAGGAAATAATTTGTTAGCAATACATATAAATATTACTTTAGTGGCCCTGTATTCCCTACCCACCAGGTACTGCCCATAGCAGATAAATATTTTGAAGCAAACTATTTAAAAGGAGCCATATATTTTTTTAAAGACTTTATTTATTTGAGAGCAAAAGAGAGCAGAGCAGGGAGGAGAGGGAGAAGCAAGTTCCCTATGAGCAGGGAGTCCACAATGGGGCTCAATCCCTGGACCCTGAGATCATGACCTCAGCTGAAGGCAGACACCCAACCAACCAAGTCACCCAGGAGCCCCAAAGTAGCCATATTTTAATTTGAAATACAGTTGACCCTTCACAACATGGGGTTAGGGGTACTGAGAACTTAAGTACTTAACAGCCTACTACTGACTAGATACTTTACTGATAACGTCAAAAGCTGAAAAACATATATATGTTATATATTATATACTGTATTCTTACAATAAAGCAATCTACAGGAAAGGAATCAGTTACTAAGAAAATCATAAAATACATGTACAGTACTATACTGTATTTATTGAAAAAAATCTGCCTATAAACAGACTCACACCATTCAAAGCTGTGTTGTTCAAGGGTCAACTGTTGTTTAAAAAGAGGCCGAGTCAGCTGCAGGACCAAAGTGGAAATCTACAAAGGCAGTCGCTGCTCTGATTCATGCCCATCTGCCTTCCCCACCTGTACCCACATCTACAGAGCCTGCCCAGGTGGTCTACCACACCCAATTCACGCCACCGCCTGCTGGCTGCAGACCTCACAGAGAAGGTGCACGGGCTGGTGGTGGCCACTGGGTCACACTCACCAACACGCTGAACTCAGGATAAAGTGCAGCAGAGAAATGATATGATTTTGATTCTTCCGTATTTAACTGAATCCACAAATTCAGAAAACAGTATGAGAATGTAGGTATCAGATTTGAGCTTTACTAAACCCTGTTCTAGAAGGTCAGACTAAGACAGCTCAGTAAGGAATATGAAAGGAGAACCACAGTTAAAAAGCGGCAATATAGAAAACTTCTGAAATGAAACTGGAAGGGAAAAAGTCATTAATTCAGACACCCAGCAACAGATAAAGGGGCCCTAACAATACGATAAATAGAACTAGAGCACCTCACTGAGTACAGAAGCACGGTCAACAAGCTCCAAAGCATCCCTGACACCTTAGCCTTTGTTCGGCAAGACTCCCCCAGACTAGCAGAGTCAAAGATCATGGGGCCAGGAATTAGACTTAGGGAGCTCCTAGGCAAAAAATGATGTGATTTTGAGGAAATTCACCCTGCAACCTGTGGTGGTGGCTGACTGTCGCTCTGCATCCCAGGCAGGCTCTCAGGATCTAACTGGACATTTTCTGGCATAGCCACCAAATATCAGAGAAGTGGTTTATCAGGTGAAGATGAAAGAGATTTAAGACCTTTTAAAAATTAACCTTTCCAATCTAGAAGTTAACTGTTTAGGGAAACTGATGCTTTCAAAATAAGTACCCTTGTCTAGACAGAGTATGCTGGTTTAATGCCAACAAAACCTCTACTTTGCACTTACAAGGGGATGGTTTCTTTACTGTCAACAGTTCATGATCTCATGATGAAGTCATTTTTGCCTTCATTTCTTGACTTACTTTAATCGCGTATATTAAATGTTTTTACGTATTTTAATTTGGAACTAAATCCCAGGAAGGGTAACTTAGAGCAGTCATGCAACAACTTAATTAACCCCACCATTCCAAGTTAACCTGACCGGTATTTTTAACTAGTTTACCAAAAGTATTTTAAAACATTAAGTCTCCCCTATCAGACTGGTTCTTTCGAAATCTTACCACCTATTCATAGGGAACCACCCTAGAAAGCCAGCTTATCCTCACTGATAAATGACAACCTGCTTCAAAAGTGACTTTCCCCAGTGCTTTGAGGGAAACTTAAATTTTGGCATTGGATCCACATGCCAAAGTATGTTTTATTTTCCTCAGAATGCTGAATAGCTATGAAAAATGAACTTAGTTAAAATTACGTTATAAGGGCGCCTGGGTGGCTCAGTCATTAAGTGTCTGCCTTTGGCTCAGCTGGGATCGAGCCCCTCATCAGGCTCCCTGCTCAGGGGGAAGCCTGCTTCTCCCTCTCCTACTCTCCCTGCTTGTGTTTCCTCTCTCACCTTGTCTCTGTCAAATAAATAACTAAAATCTTAAAAAAAAAAAAAAAAATTAGTTTAAAAGAGGAATTAAAATTCAGTAAATTCTATAGTCCAGCCAAAAAAAATAATAATAAGAAGAAGAAAAAGAAAAAAGAGAAAAGCAAGCACAAGGCGGAACAGATAAAATAACACTAGCAAACTGCTGATAGTGGTGGCAGCTGATGGGAGAACTTATCCCTAGCACCCACCATACACATGTAAAGTTTATCAGAAACCACTGCATGATAAACACATGTGGATAAACATACCATTCTACTTCTGGGTATGTTTCAATTTTATCATATAAGTAGTTTTTCAGTAGTTTTCTAACATTTTTGGATCCAGTTTTAAGGCTCTCAATACAGGGCACATGATGATGCCTTACTCAATTTTATAGACAAATCTATAATTTAAACAATTTTTCTACGCTTCTATACTGATTAAAAAAAAAAAAAAAAAAAAAAAAAAGCCAGCATCTCACAGTCACCAAATTTAACTTTCATTGGGAAAGAAGAGTTTACCCACATCTTCCCTTAAAATATGTATCATTGGTTGGATTTTAACTGGGTGTGAGACAACTGGCAGATCTGCTGAAGGTAAGCCAGGGCACCCAATGGCCTGAAAATAAACCAGCTTGGGACCAAGGCATCCTGAGAGAATCTCGGACATTCGAAGCTTCCTGCACACTGGAAAATGAGAGCTGTTAAGTTTGGCTCCTGCACCAGACCATCACTATTTGTAATGAAAGCCCAGGAGAGAACAGCCAATCCAAGTAGGGTTTGCTCACTCTGAACCATGATGGCTTTTTTAAATGGTGAGCCCAGTCAGCATGCACTATGGCCAGAATGCCCACAGGAAGGAACAAAAAAAAATAAGACCATCTGATTTACCCTCCAGAGAAAGGACCAAATCCACTAATTGAGCACAGACACGATAGACTCAGAGTACAAATGGCAAATAACCTCTCTTCCTGTTTCGGGTAAGATGGGAGCCCCGGGAGTCAGAAGACGTCTGGGAGCTCGGTCCAATTGGCAAGACAATGACTGGTGGGGCATGAACCCCCCATCTTTCCCTCAACTGCTCATAGGACTGGGGGCTTCCTGCCTCCAGGAGTCAGAGGAGCGCTAAAACATCCCAAAGACCTCTGGGTGCTAGGCAACTGGCTTCCCAGACACACCAAATTTGTTCACCTTTATGTTAATATCCATTCCCCCTGTGAAGGCTACCTTTCCTGCACTCGCCCTCTAAAAAGGCAGATCCACAGAGGGCAGTCTTCCCAGTGGAATGCCTCTCTACAGTGAGGGCCCGGCAGTGCCCAGGCCCCTATATGCCTCTCCGTGGGAAGATGGAAGTATCAAGGGAACTCATGCCTGCTTCTCTCTTGCTAACACTTAGATATACTGAAGTTCTCTTCTTCCAATTAAGCTTCTTCCAAAGTCTTGCCCTGTAATACTACAGAATCTATAATACACCGTGGTGAGTGACAGGTAGAGGCCAGAGGACCCACCCTGCATGACACTGGAGGGGGCAGAGATGGTTCTGAAGATATATCCTAAAAGGGATGAGTTATGCTTCCTATACTTGGAATGACTGTCTTCATTCAGATATAATAGTAAGAGTAAACTCTCGAGAGTTTAAATTTTACTTAAAGAAATTTAAGAGGTGAAATAAAAGGGTTTTTAAAAGTTTCATATAACACTTCCATTCCCCCATACTATCTTTTATTTTGAAAGAAAAACTTAGAAGTCTTTGACATTACCCTATAACCCAGCAGTCACACTACTGTGTATTTACCCTAAAGATACAAAGGTAGTGATCAGAAGAGGCACGTGTGCCCCAGTGTTTATAGCAGCAATGTCCACAACAGCCAAACTATGGAACGAGCCTAAACGTCTGTCAACAGATGAACGGTAAAGAAGATGTGATGTGTACACACACACTCAGGAATATTATGCAGCCATCAAAAAAAACCTTGCCATTTACCATGATGTGGATGGAATTAGAGAGTATTATGCAAAGTGAAGTCAGTCAATCAGAGAAAGACACTTATCATATAATCTCATTGATATGAGGAATCTGAAAAACATGACAGAAGACCATAGGGGACGGGAGGGAAAAATGGAACAAGACAAAACCAGGGAGGGAGACAAACCATAAGAGACTCAATCTCAGGAAACAAACTGAGGGTTGCTGGAGTGGAAGAGGGTGGGACAGATGGGGTGGCTGGGTGATGGACATTGGGGAAGGTATGTGCCATGGTGAGAGCTGTGAATTGTGTAAGACTGATGATTCACAGACCTGTACCCCTAAAACAAATAATATATTACATGTTAATTTAAAAAAAAAAAAAAAAGAAGAAAAAGAAGTCTTTGATGTGGTGGTAGGCTTTTTCCTATAGCCCCAACTATGGTACCTTAGTTTCCAAAGGGTTTTCACATTTACTTTACCCAATAACTGCTATCATTTGTTTTATGGATAAGTAAACAAAATACAGCTCAAAAAGTTAGGAGTTTCAATACAGCCATTACTTCCTTAGAGTGAAATTATTTTTAAATAACTCTTGTGCAAACAAAACCCCAAAACTTTTAACAGCAAAACTGCTACTTTTTTCAATCACTGTAGTATCTGTTACGAATTAAGATGGATCATCCTTACCTTTACCAATTTTCCAGTGATCTCAGGCATATCTCCCATTTTCCGGTTATCCAGCATCCGAATTTCATAAGACTGACCTATTTTAAAGAAATTACTGAATGTAAAGAAATCATGTATCACCAACAAGCCATATAAAGAATATCACTCTGTTTAACATAAAAATTCAGTGGTCTCTCCAGGTGAATGGGTGGCCTGGTAGGTTGAGCTATGGACTCTTGATTTCGGCTGGTCATGATCTTGGGGTCGTGGGATGGAGCCCTGCATGGGGCTCTGTGCTCAGAGCAGGATCTGCGGTATTCTCTCTCCCTCCCGATCCTACACCTGTGTGTGTGTGTGTGTGTGTGTGTGTGTGTGTGTGTGTGTGTGTGTGAGCGAGCACATACGTGTTCACTCTCAACTCTAATAAGTAAATAAAATCTTTAAAAGAAAAAAAATTCAACTCTTAACGGGAGAAGCAAATTCATATTGATCTCTTTCCTGCAAACCCCATACTCTCCTCCTTGCACAATTACAGAAAACTGAAGAGTTTTATAATTGATTTTCATGTTATACTCCCACACTAAATTTTTATTACGCATACATGCATAATCCAAGACCAAATTTTTATCAGTTTTACTGAGATATAACTTACATACCATAAAATTCACCATTTTAAGAAAGTGTACAATTAACTGTTTTAGTATATTCAGAATTGTGTAACCATCACCAAAGCCAATTTTAGAGCATTTTCATCACCCCCAAAAGAAAATCCTACCCCTCAGCAGTCACTTCTCATCCTCGCCTACCCCAGCCCCTGGAAACCCCTCATCAATCTACTTTCTGTCTCTAGGGATTTGCCCACTTCACACGCTTGATACAAATGGAATCACACCCTATGTGATTAACTGACTTCTTCTATGAAGCATATTTCCAAGGTTTTCATATGTTATAGCAGGTACTAGGATAGGCAGATTTCCCTTTTGTTGCGCCCTGCTTTATCGCACTTTGCAGTGCTCGCTTCGGCAGCACATATACTAAAATATCGCACTTTGCAGAAATTAGTTTTGTTTTTTTTTTTTATAACTGAAGGTTTGTGACAACCCTGCATCAAACAAGTCTATTGGGGCGCCCTTTCTTCCAACAGCATCTACTCACTTTGTGTTGCTACATCACATTTAATAATTCTCACAATATTTTGAACTTTTTCATCATTATTATAGTTGTTATGGTGAACTGTGATCAGTCATTATAGCTCACTTTTTAGCAATAAAGAATTTTTTAAAAAATCTTTTTAAATTTAATTTTTATTTGACAGAAAGAGACACAGTGAAAGAGGGAACCCAAACAGGGGGAGTGGGAGAGGGAGAAGCAGGCTTCCCACTGGGCAGGGAGCCCAATGCAGGGCTCGATCCTAGGACCCTGGGATCATGACCTGAGCCAAAGGCAGATGCTTAACAACTAAGCCACCCAGGCGCCTGAGCAATAAAGAATTTTTTAATTAAAAATGTTGGGGCGGGGGCTCCTGGGTGGCTCAGGGGATTAAGCCTCTGCCTTCAGCTCAGGTCATAATCTTGGGGTCCTGGGATGGAGCTCCACATCGGGCTCTCTGCTCAGCAGGGAGCCTGCTTCCCCCCCACCCGCCTGCCTCTCTGCCTACTTGTGATCTCTCTGTCAAATAAATACATAAAATCTTAAAAAAAAAAAAAAAAAAAAAAATGTTGGGGCAGCCAGTCAAGCATCTGCCTTTGGCTCAGGTTATGATCTTGGGGTCCTGGGACTGAGCCCCATGTTGGGCTCCCTGCTCAGCAGGCAGCCTGCTTCTCCCTTTCCCACTCCCTCTGCTTGTGCTCTCTATCAAGTAAATAAATAAAACCTTTAAAAAAGGGTATATACATGTTTTCTTAGACATTAATGCTACAGCACACAATAGACTCAGAATGGTGTCAAGGTAACTTTTATATGCACTAAAAACCTAAAAAATTCATCTGACTCACTTTCCTGCAATACTTACTTTATTGTGGAGCTCTGGAACAGAACCTGCAGTCTGTCCAAGGTGTGACTGTACTGCATTACATTCTATTGCAAATATTATGTCACTGCACAAACATACCACATTTTGTTCATCCATTCATCAGCTGATGGACATCTAGATTGTTTCTCCTTCTTGGCTATTATGAGTAGTGATACTATGAACGTACGTGTACTGTATTTTGTGTGAGCTAAGACCAAATTTTAATCCTAGAGCCTTCTTCCTTGTGACCAATGAGCCCTATTCACATTCTCTCACTGGTCAGGTAGTGTTCATAAGAAAACACAAACAGATGGTCACACACCCAACTATATAATTAGGAAAATGAGCTGCTGCCAAAAGTTAAGAATGTACTCCAAACCCGCAAAAATGATTTTTGAATTATCTGTTATTAAGTAATAAATAGGACAGTATAGGGGCACCTGGGTGGCTCAGTGGATTAAGCCGCTGCCTTCGGCTCAGGTCATGATCTCAGTGTCCTGGGATCGAGCCCCGCATCGGGCTCTTTGCTCAGCAGGGAGCCTGCTTCTCTCTCTCTCTCTCTGTCGGACTCTCTGACTACTTGTGATCTCTCTCTCTCTGTCAAATAAATAAAATCTTAAAAAAAAAAATAAAATAAATAGGACAGTATAATTTGACATGAAGAAAATCAATAGTAATTAAGGAATGTTTCTAGTACCATATGAAGTTGGGGATCTTTATGATCCAGTCCACACTCCAATGGGGCTGACCCTATATAAAAATATACAAAGGATACTAGTCATTTATTTGGTCACAAAATACAAGCAGATCACTTCAAAGCTGGTCAAAGAAAACCATTATATAGAGTAAGTTACTAAAGAAGAGTCCTTAAGTCATTCAACAAACAGAGAGATCACCACTAACTGATATTATGACAAGAGACATTTTTAAAGAGTTAAATTTGCAACATACTTAACAAAGGATCTAAACTCAGAAAATAATTTTAAAATAAAGCATATGAATAGGCATTTTTGAAAACTATACCATCATACACTTAAAATTACTCAACCTCACAAAAATTTTAAAATTTAAAAATTAAAATGTTTTATGCTATCAGATCAACAAAAAATGTTTAATTAAAAAGCAAGTGGGTGAGAAATGCGCACATAAAATGTGGGAGGAATATGAACTGATGAAAGTCCTTCAGAAAAGCAACCTGGCTACCCCTGTTAAGTTAAATACCGTATTCTTTGACTGGGGATTCTGACTCGTCAATACAAACAGGAAAAATGCAAGAGGGGGAATATCTGCAACTCACATTAGACACAAAGGGCTAATTTCACTAATACATAAAGAACTTCTACAAAATCACACACAAATGTCCAACATCCCTACAAGAAAAAAAATGAGCAAATGACATAAACACATTCACAAAAGAAGAAATGCCAACGGTCCTTAAACATATTAAAAGACATCCAATCGTCATCAGAGAAATGCAAATTAAAATCACACTGAAATCAATTCTCGCATATCAGGTAGGCATAAATCCCTCAGTCCGAAACAGTCACTCTATGGATAGCAGGAGTGGGGATGGAAAGAAACTGTCACTCTGGAGATTATTCTGAAGGGAGAGCCTAAGCATTTTCTGGTATATTAGATATACAGTGTGGGGGGCGGGGGGAGAAAGAGTTGAGGATTATTCCAAACTTCTGGCCACAGAAGGTCCTCAACATGAAGAAAACCACCAGGAGTAGATCTAGGGGAGAAAATCATAAGCACAATTGACTACATTAACTGACTACCTACTGGCCATCCAAACTGATAATCAGATTGATTTACAAATCTGGAGTGAAGAGGAAGAAATCCCAATTGGAGATATCAACAGAGGACTTTTCAGGGTTATAGCTGTTAGGTAAAGCTACTTAAAGACATGATCATCTGAGGAGTGCATGTAGAAAAAAGAGAAGAGGGTCAAGATACTTCTCTAGGATAGACAGTAAGAAAAGCAGCCAGTGAGATGGGAGGTGGAAGAGGTGCTGAGCAACCTGCCCAGGATAACTTGTCCCACCAGGATTATCTTATGATCCTCAAAATCTCAAATTTTCATGACTGAAAAAAAAACAAATCAAGGACAAACCTCAATGTTCCTTTGTATCATTTATTCCAATCAATCTAACAAGGACATTTCTGTGCTCAATATAAAGTTTACTCTATTTCTACAAACACAGCTCAGGATTTGTTGTTCCTATATTAAACTACCACAGACTTTTATTCTTCTAAAATCAAAAGTAATTAAAAAAAAAAAAGTCCCCATACACTTGTCATTCTTCAAATGGTTTCTCTAGGGGCATCTGGCTGGCTCAATCAATGGACTGTGTGACTCCTGATCTTGGGGTTGTGAGCTCAAGCCCCATGTTGGGTATAGAGATTATTTAAAAATAAAATCTACAGGGGAACCTGGGTGGCTCAGCTGGCTAAGCGTCTGACTTCAGTTTAGGTCGTGATCTCAGGGTCCTGGGATCAAGCCCCACCATCAGATTCCCTGCTCAGCGAGGAGTCTGCTTCTCCCTCTCCTCTGTTCCTCCCCCACAGCTTGTACTCTCTAATAAATAAATAAAATCTTAAAAGAAATAAAATATTTTTAAAAAATAATATAAAAAATAAAAGACTATAACAACACAGTTTCCAACATACATGACAAATCTCCTGAGTCATTACACAGGTATGGAGTCCCAGGTTGGGTCCTAACCATTTATAAGAACTGTTCATCCAAGAGCAACAGGAAACTAACAGAGCAACCAAGGTCTAAATAGTTGGGTTTTCCAGTACAGTCAGAAACCAAAACGCTACTTAGCTATAAACGACAGTAACAGCAGCAAAGTTCATGTGCTTCCTGTGTGCTGCCTAGCTTATAAGTGTATTATACACATTAATACAATTTAATTCTCAATTACCTTATGTGGAGAGAATTAAATTGAGGAACTTGCCTAGGCTAGCAAATGAGGGCATGGAATCCACACACAGGCAGCCTCGTTCCAGAGATTGCAGACAGCCCCTACTTACCAGGGCCCTCTCCACCTCCCACCCCACCACATGCAAAAAAGACAC